CCCCAAAACCCCAAAACCCCAAAACCCCAAAACCCCAAAACCCCACTTAATAATGCCAATACTGAATAATAAAGATTTACCAACATGGAATCTTGGCCAGCGGACTTAGATTTAGGCATAAAAGGGAATGTGCATGATGATACAGTTAAATTTGACGATGCAGAGCTTCTAGGAGGCAGCATGGATACCAAACTTAGCAAGATCTGAGTCTGGTATGATGATTTCGTCTACGGAATCCAAACCATTTATGAAACAAGCAACAATGGAATCATAGTATCTCCGAAGAGAATGGGTGCTGAAGCTATGCCATGCCAACTTAAGTATGAAGAAGTACACTTGAATAGGGATGAGAATATTGTAGCTATAAAAGGAAGCCATGGAGAGATCATCGACCATGTGATCTTTATAACTAGTCAAGGTAGAAATATCCGCTTTGGATTGTCAGATGGAGGTGACCTATTTGATTTTAAAATTCCTGGAGGTGTATGCGTTGCTGCTTTAAAAGGAGGATTTGGAGGTCATCTTCATAATATTGGATGTAGTACTACTCCTCTTGTTCAACCATTACAATATCAATACACATATGATGGCAAACAGAGGGTTGAGTATAAGATCTCAGCAGGCAAGACTCATAAAGATACAAAAATATACAATGATATTGAATTTTTAAAAAGCACAGAAGGTCAGCACAGAATACGCTCTATCAAAGTCTTTTATAATGATGAGTTTGTGCACGGTCTTGAAGTAAATTATATTGAAAATGAAACTGAAATAAAAACCAAAGGAGTTGGCAATCAGTGGAGTAGTTCAATTGGCCAAGCTACAAAGATCGTTCTCGATCCTGATGAATGGATAACTAATATTTATGGAAGCTTTGACAACATATGTAACTTCCTTGTCTTCGAAACTACTGATGGCAGAATAGAGGAATTTGGAAACGAAGCAAAAGCATGAAATTTTTACTTTGAAATCCCTGATGGAGAGGTTATATCTGGGCTATCCTTTGGAATAGGCGGTCATTTGCATAATTTGACTGCTTACTATGGGAAAGAGCCAAAAATCTTTAAATTTTATAACCAGCCGCAGCCTAGTTTGGGATTTTCGATGTTAAAAAGCGCAACAGATTCAGTTGGTCCTACCCATAAAGATACAACACCTTTTAACGATTGGCGTAAGCTAGATATAAATGATCTCACTACTCGTCTCAAGAAGGTCACTGTCTTTTATGATAAAGATAAGATCATCTACGGATTCAAACTCAAGTGGAACATCAATGATGAAGATGAAATTGAAGGAGAAAAACATATAGGTAGCGAATTTTTCGGATGGCTTTCGAATGGAGACAAGTCCTCATTTAAGCTTAAAAGAGGACAATATATTACAAAGGTTTATGGGAAGGTTGACAGACAAGTAAAGAAGCTGGGTTTCGGACTTAACACCGGTGAAATCTATGAATATGGTGGAGAAGAAGGTAAAGATTTTGATCTTTGCATCCCTCCTGGCCATGCTGTCGGAGCCCTGACAGGAGGCAAGAATGGACACTTGCATAATATCCAAGCTTGGTATGGCAAGATATATGCAGTTCCCAAAAAGATTCCTAAGGTTTACTATTTTCCGAATGCGGAAAGATGGCCTAATGAAAGTTTTATTGGAAATACTCATTCAGATACGACTAAGTTTAGAGACAAAGACATTAACTTCAACGCGTCTACTTATAGAATAGACACTATCAAGGTTTTTTATACTGACAGGATTAAAGGGCTACAAATCATCTATGAGATTGATGGGAAATATTACTGCGGGACAAAGTTCAAGGCCTCCTTTGATTATAATGAAGAAGAAATGCAGGCAACTATGATCAATTTAAGTTATGATGAGTTTATCATAGGAGTCAGAGGCAAAGTATCTACCATTATCACTAGCCTTACCTTCAAGACAAGTAATGGAAGAGAGTTTACTTGTGGTGGGCATGAAGGGGATAATGTCCAACTCTTAGTCCCAGCAGGTGAATGTGTCGGAATCATCGAAGGAGGAAAGAATGGAGATATCCACAATATCAAGATATCTACTGGGCCGATTCCCAAAATTATGACTACAATGAATTAAAAACATACGAGGTTGTATGAATAAGTTTTAATCAATTTGTTTATGATGCTAGGGGTTTTGGGGTTTTGGGGTTTTGGGGTTTTGGGG